CTTTTTCAAAGATAGGTATTTGTTAAAATATAAAGATTTAACTCCTAAAAATTTAAAGAACTTAATGGCGTCATTGAAAACAAATTTGTAAAATGATTGATACACTTGATTTAAACCAATTTCCATTATTTTACAAGCGCACCCATAGATGAGCTTTGCTGCTTTGAAGGGTTTCTGCAAGTAAGTCTTTCAACTTCAGAAATGATTAAAACCACATTTTAGGAACATTATGTGCTCTGACCTACACTACTGAGGTCGAGCTAAATTTTCAAAACTCATCAAAATATTCTAACACTATTTAAACTATTAAATGATTAACAAATAATTTAATGATAGAAAATTTTCTTAACTTCCTAAAATAAATTACTTTTAATATTACTCATATGCACCTTTAAAAGTCATGTTTGTGATTCTTTTATAAAGTGAATAATCACATTTTTAATTCCTAGAGATGTACAAAAATATGAGAACACACAATGAAAACATGTGAAGGGAAATACATATGTGATCAAATCATTACCAATCATTTGCCCAGAAACTGTCAAGCAATTGATGTAAAAATATTGATTTCTGACTCTCGTGATTAAGTAGAAGCTAGAGTATGGTTTTCTCCAACCGCTGACAGCTGACACATACGACCTCTGTAACAGCAAGAATGTTCTTCTAGCTGCCACAAGCAGACTCAGCAGAGGCATTATGGGATACAGGACAATATCTTCTGAAAACATCTAACATGTCCAGAGAATCTTCCACACCTAAAGCATTCTCCTGGGGACGCAGAGGCAAGACTCAGTTGCTTTACATTCTAAATCACAACTGCCGTGATGTCAGAAGCTACAAATGCTCCTCCTTTAGGGTAGCTCCTCAGTCTTTTCCTGGGTCATTTGTCTAAAGGGTCCAGCTGAGTTTCCTTTGCTCTTTTCAGAGCATGATATACATACATAGAGCAATCTGTAAGGCCACCTACATTCCTTTCCTGCGAGGCATAAAATCCACGTGTACAGAGGGGCCTGTGCCATTGTGTAAAATCTTGCCTCCAGTTTTAGGGTAGAAGGGGCCCCTCCCCAACCTAAGCCCAGTTATGAAGAAATACATCTCACCGGTTTGAGTTTCCAGAAGGATTTACGAGCAGCAGCATCCCCCTGCTTCACAGCACCATCCTCGTCGGTAGTCCTAGGTTTATTCTAACATATCGAGCCCCAAATATTTAAGTCTTTGACATTAAAAATCACTTGGCTGTTACTGCAGCTCTAAGGTCATGCATGTGAATGCATTTATTTCGCACATTCATCATGGAACTGCCAAGCTTTTGAACACAGGACTGCATCTGGTTGAGTGACGATGGCCAGAAGCCACGCCTACTGTGCCACAGATACATTACTTTTGAGAACAAATCAACTTACCATAGAAAGACGTGGTGATAAGTACAACAAACTTCAGATACACTGTAAATATATGACTCATTAAATTACAATTTAATACTTTTTAACTTTATTTTAAAAACTGATCTCCAGGGGTGGCCAGATGACTCAGTGGATAAATGTATTTTCTGCCAAGACCTGAATTTAATCTCTGGCAGCCACATGATATAAGTGCGAACTGACTCCCTCAAGTTGTCCTCTGACAGTCACAAGTGTACAACAGCATGTGTTTGCACATAAACACACACATACACACACACACACACAAATAATAAATGAATAACAAAGATTTTAAAAATTAGTTTCCAAACTACTTATTATGCTTGTATGTTCTTTTTCCAAATTTAAGAAAATAATTACTGCGTCTGGATACCTTTACCAGTCTTCACAAAGTTGAAGACAGTTTTCCGAAGCATTCCCCCACACACTGCCTTGCTCTTGTGCAGCTGATGGCTACCAACCTCACCCAGAGTCAGAGCTGCAGAGGCAGCACCCCCTCCTCAGCTCTCACCAGGCTTGCTCACCAGCTCTCACTAGACCTCCAAAGCAGCCAGCTGCAGACTCAGGTATGTGTGCTCAGACCACCAGCTCATTTCTGAAAGGGCTTGTGTAGCATGCCTCTTACTTAGAGATTCAATTTTTTCCCTCTGTAATCCTGTATGATTTTCTCCCCAGAAACACTTGGAAGGAAAGCACCAGAGCGAACAGGTTTCAAAGAACAAACTTAAACGTTAAAAAGGAACGCTCTAAAGGTTTATAAGAGAAAGGGTTTTTAAGGAGCACCATCCTCCTTACTCCTGCTGAGTTGTTCTCAACCCCAGGACATACTGGAACAAACAGTATTTACTTATCAAACATGAGCTCATTCCACACGGGGAACACAATCTGTGTTCTAGGAAAATGCCTTCTAGGAAAAGTATTTGAGACGATAGGGAAATACACAGAAATAGCTTTCAAAGCATTTTCTCCAATAATTGCTTGTGAGGATCCTTTTAAAGATTATCCTGGTCACAAACTAATAATCTGAATGTAACTTTAACAATAACCAACACTAAGTTTTATTCATTACTTATAATACACGAAAAGAAAAATATAAACATTTCTAATACTTTTATATTGAGAGGTAGATGGCAAATCTTACACTTTTACATTGCTATGTTAGTTTGTAAAAGATTATGTCTGGAAAAATTGTAGTAACTTATGCAAATACACAGTAAAATTATGAAAACATTTGCTTCCATCAGTTAGCTTTTTAATAAGAGACATTAATAGTCTGTTACTTAACAAAAACAGCACCAAGGGAAGGAGCCATTCATTACAAGGTAAGGTTTGTCAGTTGCTTAAAACATTTAGGTACTGATGCAAGGGATAAAAATACAACATACATATACATTATGCAAAGCACAAAGACAGCACATTAACAGACATTGTATATTAAGATACAATCCATTCACAATGGCTAATAACAAAAATGAAGTAATTCAATTAACAAGCATGGGTTATTACTCATTTATTCCTTTTGTTATTACAACACAGGGTTTTCCAGAACATTAAGAAAAGTTAGGAATACTTTCAAACTTTCTAAAATATTTTAATAATGATTTTATACACTGTCTTTTTATTTTTCTTTAAAATAAAAAGATTCACTGTCTTTAATTCATGTATATTCATATACAGTCCCTTAATTTTCCAAGTGAATGAGCAGGGTCTACGGAGAGTAATGTTACTTCTTAAAGAATACTAATCTAATCTAATCTGTTATAAGAGGTATTCTGAAATTTGGCTAATAAGTAGCAATACTGAAAGACACAAAAATATATATATATACCTGGTTTTGATAACAAAACTTCAGATCCCCTGAGTCCTTTTAATATAAAAGACTAATTGAAAAAATAAATATTCTTCATATAACAGAAATCCAGGCACTCTAATGATATATATCTTTACACATGCAAATAAATAGGTTTGTAAAAATTCTGGTATAAACATTTATTGAGATTTTTAAAAACTTCATTTTCAAATTATCAAAATATATAAAGATATTACAGTTTTCCACTAGTGCAAAGATTGAATTACTCAATTAGCTGTTTTTGGAATAGTTGTGTAGTAAACAGTGAGAATTTCTGTAATTCACTCTTACTATTCCATAATCTTAGGTATCGTGTTCTTGACTGACTAGATTATTTCTATGAGGTTGAAAAGTTGCTCGTTCAGAGGACTTTATAGGCTTCCAGGTTTCTCACTTATGACGCGATTTATGCATAAGCATATCACTAGAATGTTGGGTCAGATATATTCCAATACAATACACAGACGTATGTGGGTACCACGGAATTCTTTCAGAAGGTTGGTGAACTGCAGAGTGTTTAAAATATCAAAGGGAAGGTCCCGTGGATCGCCAAAATAGCTCAATCTAAGAGAGCACTGTAATGCTAACCTATATAAAGAGTTCCAGTAAACCTCTGTCCTAGACTTTAGATACTTCCATTCTGTCCACTAAACAGAACAGGTATCAGCCAGATCTTCTAAGAAATGGCCTGACAGTAAATACTTCAGGCATTGTGGGCCTATCTCAAAACCACCACCGTTAGCGCCCATCATGACGCAGACACAGGTAGGTGTTTAAAGCTTGTGCTCTGAAGGCGTGCTCCACGGGCTCCAGAACCACTCATCCAGAAACAAAACCACCAGAACAGGGCCTCAGGTTAGTGATTAAATTTCTCACCAAGTGTAGCAAAAATGGCTCGTTTTTTTTTTTTTTTTTTTGAGTTTAGTTATAAATAGATCACGGTCTCAAAGCAGATGTTTATCTGAAGGTAAATGCTCATGATCTAAAATAAAAGTAATAAAATGCTAATTTAAATATATTTGTTCATTAATTATACTTCCAACTACATATTTGAAAAAATATGAGAAAAATAAACTATCTATTAGCACTACCTATGAGCTTTGTCCATGACTCAAAAAAATGGAACATTGAAATATTCCTAAACCATAGTAAGTCCACACAGTGGAAAAATGGATATTCATAGTAAATTACTACATAAGTCATACTTCTCTGTGATGTATTTAACTATGAACAATTTACTTTACACAAGCAAATGTCTTTGTCTTCACTATTTTCACATTTTCCCACAAAACAATCAACCTGACATCGAGGAAGCCAATTTTAAAAGAATGTTATTCGTTTGTGGATCAGTTATTGGATAGAAACAGACAAGAGCCACATACAATCATAAACTCAAACAAGACACAAGCCTTAATCTGCCATTATTACAAATACAATGTTAACATTAGGCACAAGAGGGGAAGTCAGAGATGTAACAAAGGAAAGCAGTTCCATTAGTTCAAACTTCACACATAAAATAAATACATATAAAACCATCACATATCTACGTAATTACAGTACTTGGATGAATTCCTACTCAAACTATGGACTTTAATAAACATGCCAGTACAGTCAATGGTCTGCCTTCAGAAGCAGGAATCAGATGTGAGATAGTATGCGAATTTTCCCACTTACAAAGGGGAAATTCAAGTAAACGGAACATGGTAGTCAGACTACAGTTACTATCGTACCGCTTTCCATGGTCCCCGATACCAGGACGCGTCATCAGGGCAGGCGTGCAGGTGACATTGGATCATGCTAGGTGGCTTGGGCAGTTCACAGTTGTGTTCTTGTGCTATCTGGCCGTTGGGAAACTGGCATATCACAAATCTTGATTTTACTCCTCCACCACATGTCTGTGTGCACTGAAAATAAGGACAGGAAAGGTTACATCCATCTAACTTCAAAGGGAATACTGTTTCTTCTATTTTCTTCTTTTGAGACAAGGTCTCCTTTGACCCAGACTGACCTGGAGTCCCCTATGTAGCGGAGGGTGACTCTGAACTTCTGACCTTCCTGCTCCACTTACAGGTGAGCAGCATACTCAGATTATATGGTCAAACCCACAACTCCCATGCACGCTAGGTAAGTGGTCTAGCCACTGAGATACATTCCTCGGTTCTAAGAAGATAATGTTGACTTAATCAATGTTTAAATACTATTTGCAATGCTGGAATGGCAAGTTGCTATGCTAGAATATGTTTTAAAAGGAACTTGATACATTTGAGTTGCTAGCTAAAGTAGCCCTTTAAAGAATGATTTCCAAATTACTTATGAAGAGAAATTATGTTGAAAAAAATAACTAATTGGGTAATTTATCCATCTAAAAGCATTAAACAACTCTTTTATTTCCCTTGACATAAAAAAAATGTGGTTATCCGTCAGAATTAAGGGCATGGTTTACCGTCAGGGTTATGGTTTCTGAAGTCACCCTTACATTTTAAGGTGCTTAAGAATTCTTGGGCATGGAGAAGTGCTTAATAATCTGGTTTAAAGGTGATCAGTCAAATGAGCGACATGCAATAGAAAGCATGACACAAATGTCAACCTGGTCTTCTGTACCTATAGTAACCTAATTTTCTAAGAAGTTTAAATGACTATACACCCATTTTTGAAAGACACTGGTAGCACATAACCATATCGGCCTACATACCAAGTTGTGTTAAATAACAAGGTATATGCTCTCTCCGGAACAAGTAACTATCAGAGCAGAGTGCTTCTGGCACAAGAACTGTTTAAAAAAATCTGTTTATACACAAAACAGCAAGATCAAACCATCCCACAGTGCTCAGCGGCAGGAAGTATGTTACATTTATCTTCAGGGATGACATGGAGGACACCAAGACTTACTTCTCCCCAGTCCCCATAATTCCAATGCGGACAAGGTCCAGAGCCACAGCGCCTGGACTCTGGGGGCTTCGAGGCCGCGTCACAGTGAGCAGCGCTCCGTCCATCTTCGTCCTGGCAGACCACAGCTCTGTGCTGAAGACCGCCTGCGCAGCTTCGGGAGCACTGATGGGGACAGAACAGAAACACCGTGCTGCAAGTTCGACACAGTGAGAATGGCGCCGGCTCGGCACAAAGCCAGGTCAACGGTAAAAATCTCCCACGTGGAGTCACAGCTTTACTCAAGAAAATCTGCCAGAATGCTTGACTTTTATCAAGGGCTTTATGAGAATTTGACCATGAAAGCTGGGCGTGGGAGCTCATGGCTTTAACTCCAGCACTCTGGAGGGAGGCCGAGTTAGGCAGATCTCTGAGTTCCAGACCAACCTGGTCTACAGAGTGACCCTCTGTCTTAAAATAAATAAGTAGATAGATAGATAGATAGATAGATAGATAGATAGATAGATAGATAGATA